AGTAGACACTGATCAGTAACTAGTACTATAACTGCGTATATATTTATCCTAGCAAATACCATTAGGTCAGGGGGGCGTGGGGGGGCGGGGGGGTTGGCAAAATTTGCGTGCATATATCTGCAGGCTGTGGACACGTAGATACACATACAGCTACAACGAAAAGAATCGCACCTGCTATCAACTTCTCCTGTCTGTCATCATGCTTCGGCAGATGCTGCAAGTGCTGGAGCCTGAAGAACGGACAGTGAGCTGAGAGAGTGAGAGCATCAGAAAGCTCTGTCTCTCAATGTCTTCATGCTTCGATGGATGCTCTGCTGGTGTTGATGTTGGTGCTTGAGCCTGAATAATGGACTTCGAGCTCAAAGCATCTTGCCGGCTTTCTGAAATCTGCCTGGGCCCTATACTAGCTGAATCAGTTGTGCTTGGGCACGCGGCGGTGCCTTGGGGCGTAGTCCATGGTCATGTATGATCTCAGCTGATTCCTCTCCTCCGCCCACTGCTGGGCGTGTTGCCTTCTGTCATGCAGCCTAATTGCACCTTCAGAACCGAAGAAGAAAAAGAACTTTCAGGACTCAGTCATCACTAAACAGTGAGCATTCAGATGGAAGAGGTTACAGCAGTGAAAGATGAAAGACTAACATAGTAGCAGCAGCATTTATTTTGCAGCAAAGGTATGAACAAAGCCTATAACAACTAGATGACTCACCAACGCCTGCTTGTTGATGCAGTGATGAACTGAAGACTACCAGAAGCACGAAAGCGACCAGCCTCACAATCCCAAGCGACACCATGCTGCTGCTGCTCTCTCACGTCTCACCTGTGTTCGTTTCGTTCTCACGGTCTCGCTACTCTCACCTACCTCCTTGCATCTGCGAGCGTACGTGTGTGCATATATAGAGGCAAGGCTCGTCAAAGACAGTTGGGCACGCAGCTCGCAAGTCAAAGACACAGGAGATTTGGCTCTAGGCAGTGCAGGGTTCCGAGTTTTATTTACCTCCGTCCTGTCCCCCTCCCCAGCCTCGGCCTTCGGAAGAGGGACGCATCCCATGAGAAGAATCTATAGTTTCTGGAGCTCGCGCCTTTTGTTTAAGCCCGCGGCCCTGCCATGGCTTTTTGGGGCCGAGAGCTGATGAGCTAGTTTAATGGCGGCTCATGTGAGCTCCACTCGCCCGAGCGAACCACGCACGCGAATACCGAGGCCGATATTAAGTAATATACTCCAGTAAACAGTGTGGTTTTGAATTCGCAAAAGGTGCCACTAAGCATGGTTTATTGTTAAATTGTTTCTAGGTTCTTCATGTAGGCTCATGGTCTCTGAGCGTAGCCTGGATTTGCTTATTACTAGTAGTAATATTCACATGCTATATTGTTGTGCAAAAAGTGCTAGAATAGTGAACAATTTGCGGTTCCATTGGGCATTGGTTGATTGTTTTGGCTACTCCTAGCCGCCAGTGGCCTCTGAAGATTAGTTGTCCTCAGGACTGTTTTTAAGCTGAAAAGGAGGCAGCAGCGCTAGATCGGCAGTCCTAGTGCCACTTTAAGTACCCTGATAGTTTGTGAAAGTAGATAGCCCTGCTAGTGATCGTCGGGATGATCGAATCTTTGTTGGTGCTCTTTTCTGTCAGAACAAACACACCAGGATCTCTTTCGTGTACACAATATTTTGGAGCTCGTCGAGATCAGCCTGCAACCTACATACAGATGAATGTAGCATCATTTTGTAGCTACTGATGACTAGTGTACATGTAGCTTCATATGTACCATGCTGTTTTGAGTTGCCTTTAGCTGGAACATACAGCAATATCTTAGTGCCCTAATACTTTGTGAAAGTTGATTGGTGATATCGCTAAAGATTGTGGGGTACATATAAACATGATACTGTCGCCACTTACCATATCAGGATCTCCAGCTTCAGATACCATCCAGTTAGCTTGAGTTGGATCAGCAATACCGATACATAGGTTGCATGTACATTTTCAGGATACCTTGCATCATGCGGTTTATGGCTCGTTAGATCACTCGACACTCGTTAGTCACGGGTTGGGCTGTCCGGCTGTTCTTAACAGACATCGGAGCTTAGCTCTTGACGCTCCCTTCATAAATGGAGCAAATGCCACTGCAGATAGAATTCAATTAGGCAACTATTTAACTAGAAAAGGCATGCATGCTCCTGAAGCTAGAAATTCCAATAACATTAGTGGTTCTCTATGCTTGATCATTGCAACCATCTATTCTGGTGGTGACAAAAGCTATGTGCAACAGGAATGCTGGGTAGTTCATAAGCAGACACATGCGTGAATATTATATAGAAAAAAAAAGAATAGAAAACGTTAGCGAAAACTAGAGGCATAGCCACATAGGCCATATATGGGCTCAATGGATAATCAGCACAAAAGAAGCATGCTTGCTCTTGCTTGTGATCCCCATATATTCAAAGAATCAGGAAGCCACACTATAGTTCACGTTTGTAAGGTGCAGCCTTTTTTAAAAAAACATTGGCAAGAGCATTGCCGTGTCATTGAAGAGGAGAAGAACCAAACCAAATTTACAAATTAAAGGTGTACATACTAAATGGAAAAACTCAAACACGATTACAGATTTCCGGTAGTATTCTTAGCCTCGTCTCCCTAGATCAGCGCAACCACCTGTGATGGCATGTTCGAAACTCCAGAATCCTCCTATTTCTTTTCTTCCCAGATCTTCCAAGTTCCATACATAAAAACAAAGTGTCCATTGATTGTCGCAGCTTACCCGGATATAGATATCTGCAGGAAAGGATAAGATTCGACTGTCGCGGCCTACCCGGATCGTCACTGGAAGTCTGAAACCTTCGTGGCATTAATATGGTATTGTATCAACCAGAATGGCTCACGTACATATACCCTAGCTTGAAGCCTAGACGCATGCAGGCGATGCAGCTTGTGTTTATTAGATGAAAGAGACGTCCTTGAGGATAGCCTCCTACTCCCCTCTCTCTAACTTGTTTTTATTGCGAAGTCAAATATTTTAAACTTTGTGTTAAATCCTTTTGGGTTGAGTTTAAAAATATGAAAGTGATATAAGTAGATTCATCTCGAAATGTAGTTTCATAAAAGTATATATTGACTATATTTTATAAATATTTTATAGCAAAAAGTTGCAGTCAAAGTCGTTTCTTAAAGATCGTGTCGATGTCCAAAACGACTTGCTTTAGAGAACCGGAGGGAGTACTTGTTATGCCTGTGTTTCCATTTTCCTCGAGATAAAATACTTGTGGGCTTGTGGCCAAGCGCGTGTTGCCGCTGGTGTTTTTTTTTTTGACACGTGTGTTCCCGCTGATATGCGGGGTTGTGTGCCGCGCATGTTGGGTTAATTAGGGGAGTGGCTGGCGGCCTATTGGGCCTAAAGAGAGAGACGGAGAGAAAAGGCCACAGGTCAGATTGGGCTCGGGTGCGGGAGAAATGAATGGGACGACAAAGAAGCAGACCTAACTGAGTTTGGAATTAATATTGACTTTATATTCTTTTTAACTCCATCAATTCGAATCTTTCTCCAAAAAAACTCCATCAATTCAAATTTGAATATGATATTAAACTTGCTCTAAGCATTTAGGTTTGTGATAAGTTCTAAAAAGTTATTTTAGTGCCTCGTGGAAAAGTTTTGGGGATCTATTGAGTGGTCATGTGTGCACATTGATTTATTTATGCACAAGGAGAGTTGGTTAATGAAATTTCAGTATAAGAAAAACCAATGAATAGCAAGTGTTAATTTCTTTTATTATTGAATCAGTTTTACCAGTAAATTTATTTTTATTTTGTTAACAATTAAGTAATTAATATACTTCTATATACAAGTGCTTGTATTTTCTTATATTTAATTGAAGATGAAATGATGTATTATTTTGTAAAAGTTGATGTGCCTCCGACAGCGGGACACCTATAATGACTTTATCATTCTCAAGATCTACTAATTCAATCCGTTGGTGGTGCTTATAGAGGTAAGGCACATGTGTAGTCATATGGGTAAGTGTACGTGCATATAATGAGTGTTTGCATTTGTCTCGTGTTTATAACAAAGAAATAAGATCGAACTTAGCAACGCTCTTCAAACAACATTTTATGAAAAAATAATAAAGTTCCACCATGTAATTTTTGGGGAGTCTTGACATTTCAGAGATGTTCGAATCAATAGAGTCCAATAAAGCACTGGTACTCCGTACATCGTAGGGTCAGACTCTCTTTCGACATGAAAGGGCCGGATCATTCCCACCCGTACATTTGCTTAAACCAACCTACCCCGAAAAGAATAGTAGGCTAATAGGCACCTTGAATCCAAATAGCTAGCTGATCAACCATTCTACATTGCCACTCCATTTTCTTAGGAGGGAGCTCCGGGGAACCTTTCTTTCAAGCTCAAGTTGAGTTATTCCGTTCACGAAGCATAGCGCTAGTTAACTAGGGACTCCTTATATATAGACTATTTATCTCTTGCGGATCAAGCTGGTCTAGAACAAAGAGTTTTCAAGAGATGGTTCAAACTTCAAATTTCCATATCATCTCAGCTTCCCCTAAGAAGCTTCAACTTATTCTCCTACTGTTCTTTTATAAAGTAGTTCCTGGTGTGTAATTTAACGGCTTGAGATGGTTGAGTTGAGACTTGAGAACTTCAGTAGGCACTCGCGGTGGATGCATTTCCACATGTTGATGCTAACAAATATAATGGCACAACACACCAACATCAACAGCAATTTCCTTCTGAAGAGTATGCACGCCACCGACAAACTTTATGTTTATAACTTATTGAACTGCCGGGATGTCGCGCAAAAGAATTGAATTACACGAACTAAATCGTTACAATGTGCGCAGACTCATCACGGATGCAGCACGGCTTGGCTACAGCAGAAGGAAAAAAAAACTGTACTTTGCTGTCACAGTTTGCTGAAATACAGTTTTCTGTAGGGCGTCAGAATATCAAAGCAGGTTGCACAAAAATAGCTAATGTATCCCAGTTCTGAAAAGATTTCATGGAGCTCTATCAAATGGGCGTGTGTCATTGTAGCATATATCCCATACAGCTTCAATTGCATCTTTTGCAGCAGTCTCTGAGCAGTATGGGTTGTTTTTCAGAGACATCAGAGCCCGCCTTTTGACACAGTCCTTTAAGAAATAAAAAGAAATGATACAGTAGATGAAATTCAATTAGGCAAAAGTTACCATTAGAGGATATTAGTTGAAAGAGCCATCGGAAGCACAAGAAAAATCTCAGTATCCTCATATGCATTTTATATTTGACAATAGTAACTGAGTATTTTATTGCTAACACACATAAATTAAATTTTGATAGTTCATACCCCCTCCATTACAATTTATAGTTCATTTTGTGTTTGTCCTAAGTCAAACTTCTCTAACTTTGACCATGCTTTTAGAAAATATACTAACATTTACAAGTTCAAATAAATTCTCTATCAAAATATATTGCATAAAGAATCTAATGAAACTCATCTGATATTCTAGATGTTTGAGTGTTTTTCTACAAACTTGGACAAAGTTAAAGAAGTTTGACTTAGAACAAAGCCAAAATTAACTATAATTTGGAATGGAGGAAGCAAGTAGATATACAATAATGTTATGTGTGTAGAGAACAGAGAAAAAAACAGCTAGGTAACAGAGGCACATGTGGTTTGTACTTTGTAGCTCGAATATGAGTCACAAGGTTAGAAAAGAGACTTACTTGTTCATGACCCCTTATCTTCATGAAACCACGCAACAATTCACGTTTGTAATGGCAATCACCACTAAGGTGATTGGCTCGAATCTAAGAATAGAGTAAATGTGCAGGCATTAAACCAAGCAAAAGTTTTCATGCAACAATACATGACATTGTAAAAGGAGAGAGCTTTCTTGCCTCAGAGCAAGCATGGTGAGCACAATTCTTCCAGTCCAGATTTTTGGCAACACAGTCTTCATAAGCGTGTATCAGTTCATGAATAAGGACCTGGGTAATCTCATCTTGAAAAGCCATGTGATTGCAGCAAACTTTTATCTGGACACAATCATTGCAAAATTAAGCCTATTCTGCCATTAGTAGTCGACTAGGAAAATAGAGTACTAGATGACAAATGAATCAAAGCATTAAAGAATTCAGTGTTTCTTGACAAACACATAAGCACATAGTTATTACGATTTACGATATTACTGAGAAAAAAGGGTGCCATATCCACGTGAACCATGAGATTAGCTGATGTGTTGCAAGTAGGAGACCCATACATTCGACAGTATAACTTTATGCTGTCCAAATACCCAAGTGTTCATCAAAGCAGTGTCCCAGGAACGAACAATAGCATAGCAATCTACACTGCCAACTTGTAGCCCCATCCAACACAAAAGGTGAAAGGGTCTTTAGTTTCCAACTATATATGCAATAAGTTACCAATTGATATACAATGAACTACATCTACCTAAAGGGAACAGGCAATCAAGCTCCTAAGCCAGTCCAACATACTTCATCAGTAGCTCTGACACCCCTTTTTATTTTAAGAGGAGATATCACACTTTTGGCATATCACAGTTTCAGGTGCCCTGAGATGGCAAATCTTGAGCACTATGGTAGCCAATCCTGAGCCAAATTAAAAACAGCTAAAGGACTGTCATTTGCCAAATGAAGAATAGATCGTTCGTAGCATGTTGCACTGAATCATTCCTAACTGTGAGCAGACTGATAGGAGCACATTCCAAGCGGATTATACAGCAGCGCTATTGGTCAAGATAAGTTTCTAGCCTTCTACTTACACCCTACTATCTATCAATGGGCAATGGCGACGATCCTTTGGAAGCAAAAGATGGGGAAAGGGAAGCAAAGAAGAGCATACCCCATGCCCGCTGGCGTAGCCGCCGGCATCGGAGCAGGTTGCCGCCTGGATGAGGCGCGGCCACACCTGGCATCCGGCCTTCTCCATCCGCTCCCTCAGGAACCGCACCGTCGGATCTGCGCACCGGATTGACATGACAGCACGGGGTCAGCACACGGAAGAACCAGGAGAGGGCGGCCATGGTGGTGCCGGGCGCGTACTTTTGAGCGCGGAGCGGATGCCCTCGACGCATTCTTCGTGCGGCATGGCGCGGACGGAGGCGCGCTTCGGCTCGGAGGACTCGGCCCCCACGCGGACGCCCGCCGCGGCGCCGCTGCCGCCGCCGCCGCCGTTCCCCTCCTCCATTTCTGCCCCTCCGCCGGCGGCTTTTTTTTAATTTTTAACACTTTTTTAAACTAATTTTAAATCTAACATTTTTTTCTTCAAAACTAACACTTTTGGCCGCGCCTATTGCCATGGCGCGGTGAAGGTGGCGCGGCGGGAGGATGACACGACGAAGACCGCGGGCTGCTGACCGCTGACGTGGAGCGGTTGCCGCGCCACCGATCTTGATGCAACAGTGACGCGCCCTGATCCGTGGCGCAGCAGAGCCCGATGAAAGGCCCGCGGTCCAGTCCCGCCTGTCGCGCCCGTCGCTTCCAACCGCCTGTTCGCTGCGCCCGCCACCGCCCTCATTGTAGCGCCCGCCACTACCGCCGCCCGAGGATGAGCGCCGCTGCCGCGAGGTACTCCTCTAGTGAGTCTAGTTATACATGTTGTTGTTAGCCTTGTATAAATGTTAATATTAGATTAGTTAGTATAGTTATAGTTAGAATATGTATTAATATTACTATGGACATTACGTACGATGATTTCGACGAATTGATGAAATTTTTTGAAATGATTTTGTAGATGGATTGTTGTGTTAGAGTTTTATACGGAGGAAGTGTTGGGAGAGAAGATGGTATGTTTGAGGATATGAAAGAAGAATTGGAATGGTTTGATGAACCTCCTAACTTCAACAACCTTTTTGTCCGTTTGAATGTAAAGTTTGGTAGTGATTTCACACTGAAGGGGAGGTTTGATACTGGAAATATTAGGGCACACTATGTCCTCATGCCCTTGCTTGCATGATCCTGCTCACTAATCCCACTACACTAGGGTGCTCCAAGGTTTCAATGTGCTCATGGCTGAGGTGGTGGTAGAGAATGGGTACAGGATGCAGAGTGTCCAGGACGGCTCGTCCATTAACAATGTTGGATGCAATGAACAAGAATTAGGGATCGAAGGGAAAACAACTCAGGGTAACATGGATTTGGACGGTCAGTTGACGTAGGAGCAGTTTCATTCAACTGCAGTAGACTGTATAAGCAATGATTTCGATGTGAACGAGTTCGAACGGGAAGAGGAGGAGCAGGACGAGGAGGAGAGGATCGATGATGTAGTTAGCAGTGATTCAGACGATTCTGATGATGACCAAGTGGGTACAGATGCTATGCTAACACCGGTTGATGCCTTGCTAGTACCTGTTCATACTATGCCATTACCAGTACCAACTGAGGTTTTTCAAGGTATCTAGGCTCAGGGTAGACTAGTTATAGATTTGGCAGCAGATGATACCTCCTATGATTCATGCGCCAGAATTAGCGAAGCGCAGCAGTATATTCCACCACCACCTTACACAACGACTGAGCTTGAGCAACTAAGGTCGATGAACGTACCTTTCAGGGGCGTTCCGAACTATAGGGATGTCAGCATGATGGATATGGCAGTTTGTGACACCAGTCTCAGATGTGTAGAAAATCATTGTATGACCATGAGAAAAAAACCCTTATAAAGGGGATGATATTTAATACAATATCAGAGATGAAGCTCTTCCTTCAGGACTATGTTGTGTATCACCATAGGCCGTACAACATCACTCATTCGGACCAAGAGTTGAGGTACCACGTGATATGCAAAAATGGTTGTATGTGAAGATTAAATGCACGAAAGAGACAGAGTGATGGCAAGTGAAGGATAAGTAAAATTGTCGAACCCCACACTTGCCTAACAAATAGGGGAAGGAAAATCATTAGTAACTCACTGCACGTTACCTTGCTCGTCGTATATTGGGGCTCGTTGATGACAATAACGACATTACGGTGTCTTCTTTACAACAGTCCATATCTGAATTCGTTAAGTACGATGTGAAGTATGGAAAGGTTTGATGTGCTAAGCAAATTGCTCTAGCGATTCGATGGGGTAGTTGGGAGGAAGCGTACAACAGGGTGCTCCATATCTTATGTGCAATGCATTACTACAACCCTAGCTTGAAATGGTGTATGGACACCGGAGGGATGTGTTTTCGAGATCCGGTTAGGCATGTCCTCTATCGTGTGTTCTGGTCGTTCGCACAAACATAACATGCATTTCAGTTTTATCGGTCAGTCGTACTTATTGATGGCACTTTCCTGACAGGAAAGTACAGAGACACCTTGATGATGGCTGTTGCTGTTGATCTTGAGGACCAGATAGTACCCATGACATTTGCTTTGGCAGAGGGAGAGAACAATGAATCGTGGTCATGGTTCATGCGGCTTCTACGTGTACAAGTACTAGGCCCATCTCGGACTATATGTTTGATCTCAGACCGTCACCTAGAGCTTGTTAATGCTGCAGCTGAGCATATAGATGGGTTTCCTCCTCTAGTGCATAGATGGTGCATGAGACACTTTGTCGCTAATTTCTGGCGGCGTCAGAGGAAGCAGAAGGTATATGACAAGGTAAAGGATCTATGTTGTGTACGTACATAGCACTAGTTTAAGGAGACAAAGAGAGAACTAGACAGGATGGTAAATGAAGCAGGAAAGGCATGGTTAGAGGCGCAGATGGAACAGAAGGCTCAGTGGACGTTAGCATATGACGAGGGGGGTTTCAGGTATGGCATCATGACCATTAACTTTTTAGAGTCCTTCAACCGTGTATTCATCGGAGTTCGATCGTTACCTGTGTCTAGAATTGTTGAGTTCTCCTTTCATAAGTGCAACAAATATTTTGTCAAGAGGTGAGAACTTGCATAGAGGAATATAGATGAGCAGATGCTTTCATATTATGTTCGTATTGCATACCAAGTAGTTCAAAATTTGCAATGTTACATAATATTAATTTGAATATTGTTAATTTGAATACTCTAACCCTTTGTTTATCAATTTGTAACAGGATGGCCCCTCCCACGTCGCATCAGATGTACCCCCTTCTTGAGGTGGAGTACGACGACGAGGTTTCTATGAGGCGTCCGAGGGATTCTTTCACTCCTGGGACTTAGTTGGTTATATCAAACTTATATCGAACGAATATTGTCATCCAAAACTTGCAACTTGTCAATTTGCGCACAGTCTCCATTTATTTGCTTCATATTCGTTTCAACTTGCGCACGATTGCGACAGCACTTGTAGTTGTTTACAAACCACAATGACTCCCGTTCGGTTACAATTGAGGTGGTTTGACGTACATGCGTGTCCAGTAATCGCCGCCTACAAGTAGGCTATGGCACGGTAGAACCTGGACATAGACAAAACCTGGGCTTAGGGTTGGCGCGTCGATTTTGTTCATTTTAGAAATTCTCAACGCATTCGTTATTATTAAAAAAACTTAAAGAGCGACAAACGTGGATGGGATCACTTAAGATCGACCATAGGTAATCCGAGTACATGATACATGGTTACAATACATCAATAGTTCAAATAAAAAATAAGACAACACAATGAAAGTTTTGATACACAACGCAATTCAAAAACCCTCAATCAGAAACATACTGAGTAAGCAACTCGTCGTCCGAGCATTAATCCTCTACCCCAACCTTGTTGCTGTGGATAGGGTCACCTACATTGCCCTGATCTGCCTTTCGCCTGTAGTAAGCGGCCTCCGCTTCATCTATGGCCTCTACGGCCTGAGTGAAGAACGTGTCGTCATCATCCTCCACTTGCAAGCCCGTCTCTGCTAGAGCAATGAGCTCGCTCAGTTTGCCAGTGTCATCCTCAGCCTCCTCCGCCTGCAAGCCTGCCTCTGCTAGAGCGATGAGCTCGCTCAGTCTGCCAGTGTCGTCTTTAGCCTTCTCCGCCTGCAAGCCCGCCTCTGCTAGAGCGATGAGCTCGCTCAGTCTGGTAGTGTCGTTCTCATCCTCGTCCCCCTCATCAGACAACATAATCGGTGATTCAATGGTGCGACCAGCTCGTGTTTTGTACTTATCTAACTTCTTTTCTTCATACCTTGCACGAGCTACCTCTGCAGCATGTTTCTTGCTGCATCCAATCCCTTCATATATAAAATGCAATCAGTTAGCAACGCGATTATATTACATTTAAAATCAGGCAACGAAAAAAGGCTTTCAAACACTCACTGACACATAATGCAACAACATGCTCGTTCAAGACCTCCATCTATACTCTTGTCTCCTCCCTTGTCTCCTTTCTTGCCCTCTCCTCCTCTAACGTCATCCGTCTCTCCAATCCCTATTTACCAAGCCCAACATCGATCGGGTTACAAATACCGCGCTATCTAGCAAACTTACGCATCTTGTCTTTATGATGTTTAACGAATAGGTTGACGTAGTCAGGTCCATATCCCCTCTTTCATGCAATTACTTGCTTCCTCTTCAGTTCATCCAATAACTTAGCTTGACCATCGTAACATTCCCACCTGCATTTCCTAGTGCTCTGTTCAAACGAAAAATTATATCATATATGTATTAGCAAATAAAACAAAATACGATTTTATGTTTACCACAAAAATAATCAACCTCATCATAGTCAACCATATGGCCGCAATAATGACTTATTCCAAGCTCCGAAGAGACTAGACCGTAGTTGGATTTAACACCACATTCGTACTTGACTAGAGGTGCTTTATAAATTAACCTTTCTTTCTTCTTTTGCTTTGCCTTTGGCGGTTCTTCCGGCTATTGGTTCTTTGGACCATACAACCACTCCTTGAAACAACACTTCGCCATTGAAAACACCTAAATAAGGTGACATTAGTACATGAATACATATAGCTCAACATTTCAACACATATACTTTGCACTTACTTCATGTTTGTTTGGATACACAAACTCCAACGTATTCTCAGGGTTTATCACAGCTCGATCTCTGCAATTGCGCAGAGGAGGTTCCTTGAGTCGTCTAACTGCGGCTAAGTGCTTCTCCTTAGCTGTCATTGGAGGGGGCTAGGGGGAGGTGGAACCCATCGCTCGAAGTGCTCTCGTGGGTGTCGCCCTCTCCACCAATCGTCGAAAAGAAGGTACCTAGGGTCAAACTTGTCTGCACCGTCGATCCACTGAAAGAAAAAACACCTCTCATGGGCCTACACAATAAAATTCTAATAAA